ATAGAGTACCGAATTAGGTCCAGAATGATGTGTGCCAAGTTTCGAGTAAATCGGTTCAAATTTAGATATAGCTCCCATATATAGTTTCGCCCGATTTTAGGCAAATGGTGTACCAACGATCCTATATATCTTTCGATTTGCACGAAATTTGGCATAGCGTAATGAATTAGTTCTAGAATGATGTGTGTTAAGTTTCCTGAAAATCGGTTCAGATTTAGATATAGCTCCCACATATATTTTCGTCCGATTTAAGGTAAATGGGGCACCAAAGTACCTACACATCTTTCTATTTGCACGAAATTTGGCATATAGAACTGAATTAGGTCCAGAATGATGTGTGCCAAGTTTTGAGAAAATCGGTTCAGATTTAGATATACCTCTCATATATATTTTCGTCCGATTTAAGGTAAATGGCGTACCAAAGATCCTAAATACCTTTCGATTTGCACGAAATTTGGCACAGCGCACTGAATTAGGTCTAGAATGATGTGTGTTGAGTTTCTTGAAAATCGGTTCAGATTTAGATATAGCTCCCATGTATATTTTCGTCCGATTTAAGGTAAATGGTGCATCAAAGACCCTAAATATCTTTCGATTTGCACGAAATTTTGCATAACGTACGGAATTGCGTCTATAATAATGTGTACTAAGGTTCATGAAAATCGGTTCAGATTTAGATAAAGCTCCCATATATAGTTTCGCCCGATTTTAGGTAAATAGTCCAGCAAATTCCCTGGAAATCTTTTGATTTGCACGAATTTTGGCATAGAGTACCGAATTAGGTCCAGAATGATGTGTGCCAAGTTTCGAGTAAATCGGTTCAAATTTAGATATAGCTCCCATATATAGTTTCGCCCGATTTTAGGCAAATGGTGTACCAACGATCCTATATATCTTTCGATTTGCACGAAATTTGGCATAGCGTAATGAATTAGTTCTAGAATGATGTATGCTAAGTTTCGTGAAAATCGGTTCAGATTTAGATATATAGTTTCGCCCGATTTTAGGCAAATGGTGCACCAAAGTCCCTATATATCGTTCGGTTTGCACGAGATTTCGGTAGAGGGTACTGAATTAAATCTAGAATGTTGTTGCTAAGCTTCGTGAAAGTAAGTAATATAAATTAGTCTCTGGCAAATTTCCCTGAAATCGGTTCAGATATAGATATATAACAAAAATGCGACGTCTGTTGGGATACATATGTAGAATATACCCAAAGTGGTGAAGGGTATCAAATAATCGGCCCAGTCCGACATTACTACTTTCCTTACTGGTTTTAAAATATGCACGCCTAATTGTGGACCCTAAAAAAATTTTAAGGAAATCCACGCCTAATTGTAGACCCTAAAAAAATTTTAAGGAAATCCACGCCTAATTGTAGACCCTAAAAAAATTTTAAGGAAATCCACGCCTAATTGTAGACCCTAAAAAATTAATTTTAAAAAAACCACGCCTATGTTGGGACACTAAAAAATTAATTTTAAAAAATCCACGCCTAATTGTAGACCCTAAAAATGAACTTTAAAAATCTACGTCCAATTGTAGACCCTAAAAAATGTTTTAAACAATCCACGCCTAATTGTAGACACTACAAATGAACTTTAAAAAATCCACGCCTAATTGTAGACCCTAAAAAATATTTTAAGGAAATCCACGCCTAATTGTAGACCCTAAAAAATATTTTAAGGAAATCCACGCCTAATTGTAGACCCTAAAAATATTTTAAGGAAATCCACGCCTAATTGTAGACCCTAAAAAATATTTTAAGGAAATCCACGCCTAATTGTAGACCCTAAAAAATATTTTAAGGAAATCCACGCCTAATTGTAGACCCTAAAAAATTAATTTTAAAAAATCCACGCCTAATTGTAGACCCTAAAAAATTAATTTTAAAAAATCCACGCCTAATTGTAGACCCCAGAAAATTAATTTTAAAAAATCCACGCCTAATTGTAGACACTACAAATGAACTTTAAAAAATCCACGCCTAATTGTAGACCCTACAAATGAACTTTAAAAAATCCACGCCTAATTGTAGACCCTACAAATGAACTTTAAAAAATCCACGCCTAATTGTAGACCCTAAAAAATGTTTTAAAAAAATCCACGCCTAATTGTAGACCCTACAAATGAACTTTAAAAAATCCACGCCTAATTGTAGACCCTAAAAAAGGTTTAAAAAAAATCCACGCATAATTGTAGATTCTAAAAATGTTTTAAAAGAATCCACACCTACATTGAGACCCTTAAAATTATTTTTAAAAAATCCACGCCTACATTGAGACCCTTAAAATTAATTTTAAAAAATCCACGCCTAATTGTAGACCCTAAAAAATTAATTTTAAAAAAATCCACGCCTTAAAATATACCAAAAAACTATTTTTAAAAAATCCACGCTTCAGGGTATACAACATTTTTTTTTAGAAAATCCACGCCTAAAAATATGCCCTGAAAAGCAGTTATCTACCTCTTTTCTTCCCCCTCACCCTCCAATGAGCATCATTTCAAATTTATTACCATTTGCCACCGGTTTCTTTTTTTGCACAAACATGTCATCATCAGCAGGCGTTGAAATGTGCAATTCGAAAAGTGTGAATTTCTGGCAATAATGCCAAAACAACAACAACAACAAACCTCCCCTTGGTTCGAATAGACCAAAATGTTATCTAACCCCCCTTTGGAATATTTGCAATGAAGTGAATACAAAATAAAAGAGTTACCTCAAAAACAAAACAAAAAGCTTCCAGGAGTTGGGCAAAGGATTGCATTGCAGGATTACAACATCTCATGTTGTTGTTGCTGTAAAAGATAATTATGCCCCATGCAAATGATTTTTCAATTACAATTACGATTATCATTAACGATGATGGTGTTATTAATACGACAACAACAGCAGCAGCACGACGAACTGCGACCACAGTGAGGTGGATGTGGAGGAGGATGGCCGTGTTTGCTATCAATGTCATTGTTGCATACTTTTGGGCAGGGGAGGGTAAGAAAAAGTGCATTAATGGCAATGAAAGTGAACGAGCATGCAAAAGATTGTCAATATCAAATGCTACTCATACTCAGTGGTGTTATCTCCCTCTCTCACTCCATTTCTCTCCCTTTATTTTTATTTGTCTCTTGCTGATGGAGAGCCTGAGCAATTGAATTGTGTGGCTGTTGTCGCCAGTGTGGGTGGTGCGTGTGTGTGTGTGTGTGTGTGCATGGAAGATGAACAGCATATGTGATTATGCATTTAATGCAGCATAATTTTAGGGGAGTATTTTAAAATATGTTGTTTCATTGCAAAGTGGATTAAGTGGGAAAAATTAAAAAATAAAAATAATCAAAAATATTGAAAAAAAAAATAAAAATAATTTTTTAAAAAATTAAAAAAAAAATTTAAAAAATCCACGCCTAAATTTAGACTCTAAAAAATATTTTTAAAACATCCAAGAATATTTTTTTAAAAAATCCGAATTGAGACTCTAAAAAATATTTTTAAAAAATCCACACCTAAATTTAGACTCTAAAAAATATTTTTTAAAAATCCACGCCTAAATTTAGACTCTAAAAAATATTTTTAAAAAATCCACGCCTAAATTTAGACTCTAAAAAATATTTTTAAAAAATCCACGCCTAAATTTAGACTCTAAAAAATATTTTTTAAAAAATCCACGCCTAAATTTAGACTCTAAAAAATATTTAAAAATAAAAAATATAATAAAAAAAGTGAACTAAGTGGGGAAAAAAAAAATTAAAATAATAAAAAATATTAAAAAAAATAAAAAAAATTTTTTTAAAAAATCCACGCCTAAATTTAGACTCTAAAAAATATTTTTAAAAAATCCACGCCTAAATTTGGACTCTAAAAAATATTTTTAAAAAATCCACGCCTAAATTTAGACTCTAAAAAATATTTTTAAAACATCCAAGACCGAATTTAGACTCTAAAAAATATTTTTAAAAAAATCCACGCCTAAATTTAGACTCTAAAAAATATTTTTTAAAAAATCCACGCCTAAATTTAGACTCTAAAAAATATTTTTAAAAAATCCACGCCTAAATTTAGACTCTAAAAAATATTTTTTAAAAAATCCACGCCTAAATTTAGACTCTAAAAAATATTTTTTAAAAAATCCACGCCTAAATTTAGACTCTAAAAAATATTTTTAAAAAATCCACGCCTAAATTTGGACTCTAAAAAATATTTTTAAAAAATCCACGCCTAAATTTAGACTCTAAAAAATATTTTTAAAAAATCCACGCCTAAATTTAGACTCTAAAAAATATTTTTAAAAAATCCACGCCTAAATTTAGACTCTAAAAAATATTTTTAAAACATCCACACCTAAATTTAGACTCTAAAAATTAGTTTTAAAAAATCCACGCCTTTTTAGGGACCATAAAAATATTTTTTAACATTTAAAAAAATTTTTAATAAATGGAGTTATCTCCTTTTCAAAATCACCCTGTGTTCCTGTGTATGTCACATAAATATGTTGTTAATTAAGTGTTACTGTTGTTGATTATCTCAGGCCCCAACGAAAATTGGAGGAAAAAATTTCTCATTGGAATGAGAAGAATATCCTCACATTAAAAGGATATTCAAAAATCAATGGATTGTAAATACCAAATTGCACACAAAAGGCCAAGGAGGATATACATATATGAGTGCAGGGCAGGGCAGGTGCAGAGTGCATTTTTATTGTCTATTGAATGAAACGGGAGCATCACACATTTAATGATAATAATATTTAATGAGCAGTGAACGAAACAATAAAAATATGATAAATTGATTTTTGTAATTATTTTTTGTGGTTGCTAGCCGAACTGCAATTATCAGAGGTGTTAGAGCGTGAAATATGAGTGCAATTGAATGACTGCAGGTACTTGAAAAATATTTCTGGAAAAACATTTTTTTTCTTTTGTGTTCATTTAACTGGTGGTTCTTTTATTGTTTGGAATTTCCTTTTCAAGGAAAGGGGAGAGATTTCTAAGCAGGAGGTAAGGTTTCAATTTTGATGACTTATTTTAATCAAGATCTCCAATGCAGCCACGGTACTGATGCCATTCTTTAATTTCGCCAAAATATTATAATAGCCATCGGGAACATCGGCGGGTAGATAATTTTGATTTATTTCATAGTTTTTAAAATGATATTGGCCCTGGAATAAAAAGAAAATTATAAAAAAATCCACGCCTAAGGATATACCCTAAAAATTAATTTTAAAAAATCCACGCCTAAGGATATACCCTAAAAATTAATTTTAAAAAATCCACGCCTAAGGATATACCCTAAAAATTAATTTTAAAAAATCCACGCCTAAGGATATACCCTAAAAATTAATTTTAAAAAATCCACGCCTAAGGATATACCCTAAAAAGCCACGCCTAAGGATATACCCTAAAAATTATTTTTAAAAAATCCACGCCTAAGGATATACCCTAAAAATTAATTTTAAAAAATCCACGCCTAAGGATATACCCTAAAAATTAATTTTAAAAAATCCACGCCTAAGGATATACCCTAAAAATTAATTTTAAAAAATCCACGCCTAAGGATATACCCTAAAAATTAATTTTAAAAAATCCACGCCTAAGGATATACCCTAAAAATTAATTTTAAAAAATCCACGCCTAAGGATATACCCTAAAAACTAATTTTTCAAAAATCCACGCCTAAGGATATACCCTAAAAATTAATTTTAAAAAATCCACGCCTAAGGATATACCCTAAAAATTAATTTTAAAAAATCCACGCCTAAGGATATACCCTAAAAAGCCACGCCTAAGGATATACCCTAAAAAATAATTTTAAAAAATCCACGCCTAAGGATATACCCTAAAAATTAATTTTAAAAAATCCACGCCTAAGGATATACCCTAAAAATTAGTTTTAAAAAATCCACACCTAAGGATATACCCTAAAAATTAATTTTAAAAAATCCACGCCTAAGGATATACCCTAAAAATTAATTTTAAAAAATCCACGCCTAAGGATATACCCTAAAAATTAATTTTAAAAAATCCACGCCTAAAGATATACCCTAAGAACTAATTTTTCAAAAATCCACGCCTAAGGATATACCCTAAAAATTAATTTTAAAAAATCCACGCCTAAGGATATACCCTAAAAATTAATTTTAAAAAATCCACGCCTAAGGATATACCCTAAAAATTAATTTTAAAAAATCCACGCCTAAGGATATACCCTAAAAATTAATTTAAAACAAGTGAAAAAGCGGTAAGTTCGGCCGGGCCGAACTTTGGATACCCTCCACCATAGATATATTGACAGGTACTAGAAATGAAAATATAGGGAACATACCAAAAAGTGGACCTATACCGACATTTCTAAAAACGGATTATGTAAACCATAATTAAAAATTTTAGAAAATTTTAAAGGATAATTATACTCTCAGCCTTATGTCTAATGAGGGTGTATAGACTTTAACACGGTGAAAATGTGTCTCATCGAAATATTGGTTCTAGACCCCATGTTTCTTTGGACCAAATCCGTTTCAGAAAATTTAGATTTCATCCAAACTTTGCCCATCTTATTATTTCTTCCAAGCTTAGTTCAAATTCTCGAACTTCAAATCAGGGGCTACGGAGGTGAAATGATTACAAAAGAGACTTAGAACCAAACTCAAAACGCGGAACAAATCAGATAACTATTTTAATATATAAAAAGGGGGGTTATATGGGGACTACCCCAAAAAGGGGGTGAATATTAAAAAATGTTGGTAGAGAGATTTGTTACCATATACGACTACAAATTACCAAATTGCAGTAAATTCGGTTGAAAAATGCGCTCAAGAACGCTCAAAACCCCCAAAATACTGAAAATTAGGAGGTACCGTTATATGGGGGCTACCAGAAAAAGTGGACCTATATTTATAATTTTTTGTGGGGACATTAAGTACCCAATAAGAACCCAATGTACCAAATTTCAGCGTATTCGGTTGAAAAACGCGCCCAAGAACCTCAAAATACCGAAAATTGGGGGGTACTGTTATATGGGAGCTATGTCTAAACGTGGACCGATATATCCTATCTTCGAACTTGACCTGCCTGCAGACAAAAGACAACCCTATGCAAAATTTCAGCATCCTATCTCAATTCCTTCAGAAGATAGCGTGATTACAACAGACGGACGGACGGACAGACGGACGGACGGACGGACGGACATGGCTAGATCGTCTTAGAATTTTACCCTGATCAAGAATATATATACTTTATAGGGTCGGAAATGAATATTTCGATGAGTTACAAACGGAATGACAAAATTAATATACCCTCCATACTATGGTGGAGGGTATAAAAAATCCACGCCTAAGGATATACCCTAAAAATTAATTTTAAAAAATCCAGGCCTAAGGATATACCCTAAAACTAATTTTAAAGTATCCACGCCTAAGGATACACCTTAAAAATTAATTTTAAAAAATCCACGCCTAAGGATATACCCTAAAAATTAATTTTAAAAAATCCACGCCTAAGGATATACCCTAAAAATTAATTTTAAAAAATCCAGGCCTAAGGATATACCCTAAAAATTAATTTTAAAAAATCCACACCTAAGGATATACCCTAAAAATTAATTTTAAAAAATCCAGGCCTAAGGATATACCCTAAAACTAATTTTAAAATATCCACGCCTAAGGATACACCTTAAAAATTAATTTTAAAAAATCCACGCCTAAGGATATACCCTAAAAATTAATTTTAAAAAATCCCCGCCTAAGGACATACCCTAAAAATTAATTTTTCAAAAATCCAAGCCTAAGGATATACCCTAAAAACTAATTTTAAAAAAATCCACGCCTAAGGATATGCTCTAAAAACTAATTTTAAAAAATCCAGGCCTAAGGAAATACCCTAAAAATTAATTTTTCAAAAATCCAAGCCTAAGGATATACCCTAAAAACTAATTTTAAAAAAATCCACGCCTAAGGATATACCCTAAAAATTAATTTAAAAAAATCCACGCCTAAGGATATACCCTAAAAATTAATTTTAAAAAAATCAACGCCTAGGGCTAGACCCTAGAAACTTAATTTTAAAAAATCCACGCCTAAGGCTAGACCCTAGAAAATTAATTAAATTAGTCCCACTCACCTTTGCCAAAGGACACGTTCCTGGTTCGGGTAAATTTGAGACCTCTTGCAATCGTGGATATACATCCTTATCCTGTTCGATAAAATCACATACCCTGTGCTCCACATTGAACACCAATAGGCCTCGTAACTTTTGTTTGGCATCATAGGTGAAGATTTGCAGGTTTAGCTGGACTCAAAAAACACACATTCCGAAAAATAAATTTTCAATAAAAAAATTTTCAAGAAAATCCAAATCCATTACCGCTTGACGATTATCCAAATCCATGTTGCCAATGGCGGTGCCATTTATCACAAAATTATTTCTCGATATTCTTGTCATTCGCAACGAATGCCAATCGACAAATTGTGTGTCATATTTCTTGTCGATTTCAAATGATTCCAATTCAACGACCAGATTATCCTTTTGGCTAACCACAAATATTAGATGTAGGATGAACAGCCAACCGAGCACTAATCCATTTGGTTTGACCATTTTTTTTTTTTAGAAATTTGAATTTTGTTTTTAATTTCGTATTGGTTTTATATTTATATCGAGTTCATTGCGAAACTCTCTGTCTGGTATTTAATTTGTTGCATTAGCCGCATGCAATTTGTATGTAGATCTTATTTGTTTTTGTTCTAATATCTACATCAGCTTGTTAGGGTATCGCATAAAATATAATGGGGGCTTGGATAAATGGTAAATTTTTATACCCTTCACCACACTGTGGTACAGGGTATTATGTCTTTGTGCATATGTTTGTAACAGGCAAAAGGAATCGAGATAGACCCATGGTTCCTTTTGAGAATATGCATAGAATCACTTTCTGAGTCGATTTATGCATGTCCGTCCGTCCGTCCGTCCGTCTGTCCGTCCGTCCGTCTGTTGATGTTAAATTGTAAACAAAGTACAGGTCGCATTTATAATCCGATTTGGCTGAAATTTGGCACAGCTCATTTATTTGGCCCAAGGACGAACCCTATTGAAATTGGGAAAAATCGGTTCAGATTTAGATATAGCTCCCATATATATTTTTGTCCGATTTGAGGACTTTAGTCCCTGAAAATCATCCGATTTGCACGAATTTCGGTACAGCGTACTGAATTAAGTCTAAAATGATGTGTGCCAGATTTAGATATAGCTCCCATATATAGTTTCGTCCGATTTAAGGTAAATGTGGCACCAAAGTCCCTCTGTATCTTTCGATTTGCATGAAATTTGGCACAGAGTACTGAATTAGGTCCAGAATGATGTGTGCCAAGTTTCGAGAAAATCGGTTCAGATTTAGATATAGCTCCCATATATAGTTTCGTCCGATTTAAGGTAAATGGGGCACCAAAGTCCCTCTATATCTTTCGATTTGCATGAAATTTGGCACAGAGTACTGAATTAGGTCCAGAATGATGTGTGCCAAACTTCGAGAAAATCGGTTCAGATTTAGATATAGCTCCCATATATAGTTTCCTCCGATTTAGGGTAAATGGTGCACCAAAGTCCCTGTATATCTTTCGATTTGCATGAAATTTGGCACAGAGTACTGACTGAGGTCCAGAATGATGTGTGTCAAGTTTCGGGAAAATCGGTTCAGATTTAGATATAGCTCCCATATATAGTTTCCTCCGATTTAAGGTAAATGGGGCACCAAAGTCCCTCTATATCTTTCGATTTGCATGAAATTTGGCACAGAGTACTGAATTAGGTCCAGAATGATGTGTGCCAAGTTTCGAGAAAATCGGTTCAGATTTAGATATAGCTCCCATATATAGTTTCGTCCGATTTAAGGTAAATGGGGCACCAAAGTCCCTCTGTATCTTTCGATTTGCATGAAATTTGGCACAGAGTACTGAATTAGGTCCAGAATGATGTGTGCCAAGTTTCGAGAAAATCGGTTCAGATTTAGATATAGCTCCCATATATAGTTTCGGCCGATTTAAGGTAAATGTGGCACCAAAGTCCCTCTATATCTTTCGATTTGCATGAAATTTGGCACAGAGTACTGACTGAGGTCCAGAATGATGTGTGTCAAGTTTCGGGAAAATCGGTTCAGATTTAGATATAGCTCCCATATATAGTTTCCTCCGATTTAAGGTAAATGGGGCACCAAAGTCCCTCTATATCTTTCGATTTGCATGAAATTTGGCACAGAGTACTGAATTAGGTCCAGAATGATGTGTGCCAAGTTTCGAGAAAATCGGTTCAGATTTAGATATAGCTCCCATATATAGTTTCGTCCGATTTAAGGTAAATGGTGCACCAAAGTCTCTATATATCTTTCGATTTGCACGAAATTTGGCATTGCGTAATGAATTAATGATTGTGTGTTTAGTTTCGTGAAAATCGGTCCAGATTTAGATATAGCTCCATATATATCGTCCTATATATATATATATATATATATACGCTTATAATAGATTTTCATAATTTTGTCCCTGGTCCTAAAAATACTTTTAAAATCCCCGCCTAAGGGTAGGCTATAGAATTTTTTATAACATTTCTTATTCCCTTTCCTTATTGCATACCAAGCCCTTGCGGTATAACCATGCAATAATCCACTCAAATGATGCATAAAATCATATTTTTTAAAAACAATAACAACAAAAATAAAACAAATGAAAAATCAACATTTCCCAAAGCCACCGAACCAAAGTGGAAACAACAAAAAAAAAACTTAAACCCACAAATTGGTATTTTTAACCCCGCCAATACGATTATGAGGGCGTAATAACATTTAGTCCCAGTGTAGTAGAACAAAAACCAATTTTTAAATAAATGTTTTTATAAAAATCAACAATAACAACAATTTACAATATTAATGAAAGAGTTGTTGGTGTTTTTTCTTTTTCTTTTTTTTTTTTTTGATTTTACGAATAATTGTTGACTTGGATGTTTTTTTCCTGGCAATTTTAAATGAACCCTTTTTTATATGGTATTCTCTAGCATATATATATGTATATATATATATATATATATATCCTCTTTTTATATAGATATGTATATATGATAGATGCAGCTACATACATATATCAGTTATTTTTATTATTTGGTTATTTGTACACAGTGAAAAACCAGTAAGGAAAGTAGTAAAGTCGGACGGGGCCGACTATATGATACCCTTCACCACTTTGGGTATATTCAAGAAATGAATCCTAACAGAAGTCGTATGTGTCAGTCTCGTTTCCTACTGCCTGCTACAAACATATGCGCAAAAACATAATATCCTGTGCCAGAAAAAAAAATTGGTTCAAGAACCTCAAAACCTGGGGGCTACCAGAAAAAATTGACCACTATTTATAGTGTAGAGATGTGCTACCTAATAAGAACTCGACGTACTAAATTAAGTCAATTTGGTTGAAAAATACGATCAGAACCCCCAAAATACCAAAAATTTGGGGTACCGTTATATGGGGACTACCAGAAAAACTAGACCTACAGTGGTGGTCACAGAATTAAAACATTTACTGTGGTAAACATATATTGATCAGCCCTCGATTCTTTTGAAGTATTTTTGAAAATTTTTTATTTCAGAACACTTCGATTTACTGCACTTAAGAGATTTAGTGTGAAAATAGAAAATTTTTGCATGCAATTTTCCCATAAATAACGGTTTTTATGAAAATACATCGGCTTTGAAGTGGCCATATAATTAAAACATTGTGTGGGATTTTTTACTTTACTGCATTTTTTGAAAATATTTTTAGAAAATCTATTTAATTAAGTCAAATTTTGTGAACTAAGCACCGATAAAATCATTTACAGATAAAAATTGTTGAAAAAATCTGTAAAATCTATTAAAATTGCCAACAATTTGTACAGTACACCTTACGTTCAGAAAATCACCCTAATTATAGAAAATAAAGGTCCGAATGCACCAGAAATTGCTAGAATTAGTAGAAAACAATAAATAATTTTCAAATTAAAGAAATATTTGAAATAAAAACTCAAAAAAATGGAATTAACCTAAAGAAACTATTCAATTTCAATAGTCTTTACTGAAGAAGGCCGGAATATTTTTGCAGTATGTGAGAAAAAATCGATTGATATTGGTATTTATTATATCAAATCGACTGTTCGAGTAGTACAGAATATATTTTATCAAAAAATATATCTGTCAGAACAGAACGAACAGAGATCAACGCCTAGGTTGACGAGTAAAAGTTTCTGGCATACAGCAGCATTTTTCATGTTCAACACAAGACTTCAAATATTTTTCAAACTGTAAAATTTTTACTTCCTTGATATTAAAATAGATTAAGTGGAAGTTATTCGATTCAAAAAATATTATTTTGGAAAAATATTGTCATGTTCAATAGATTTTAAGGGTCAAGAGTTGACCATCAAACATGCTACTGTGTGCCAGAAACTTTTACTCGTCAACCTAGGCGTTGATCTCTGTTCGTTATGTTCTGACAGATATATTTTTTGATAAAATATATTCTGTACTACTCGAACAGTCGATTTGATATAATAAATAACAATATCAATCGATTTTTTCTCACATACTGCAAAAATATTCCGGCCTTCTTCAGTAAAGGCTATTGAAATTGAATCGTTCCTTTAGGTTAATTCCAATTTTTTGAGTTTTTATTTCAAATATTTCTTTAATTTGAGAATTATTTAATGTTTTCTACTAATTCTAGCAATTTCTGGTGCATTCGGACCTTTATTTTCTATAATTAGGGTGATTTTCTGAACGTAAGGTGTACTGTACAAATTGTTGGCAATTTTAATAGATTTTACAGATTTTTTCAACAATTTTTATCTGTAAATGATTTTATCGGTGCTTAGTTCACAAAATTTGACTTAATTAAATAGATTTTCTAAAAATATTTTCAAAAAATGCAGTAAAGTAAAAAAATCCCACACAATGTTTTAATTATATGGCCACTTCAAAGTCGATGTGTTTTCATAAAAACCGTTATTTATGGAAAAATTGCATGCAAAATTTTTCTATTTTCACACTAAATCTCTTAAGTGCAGTATATCGAAGTGTTCTGAATTAAAAAATTTTCAAAAATACTTCAAACGAATCGAGGGCCGATCAAAAAATGTTTAGCACAGTAAATGTTTTAATTCTGTGACCACCACTGTATTTCTAATTTTTAGTGGAGTAATTTGGTACCCAATAAGAACCCAATGTACAAAATTTCAGAGAATTCAGTTATAAAACAAGCCCAAGAACCCGAAAATACCGAAAATGTGGGGTACCCTTATATGGGGGCTATCCGAAAAAATTGACATTTACTTTTAATTTTTGGTAAGGAGATTTGCTACCCAATGAGAACACAAAGTACCAAATTTCAGCAAATTCGGTCGAAAAATGCTATCAAAACCCCCAAAATACCGAAAATTGGGGGTAATCTTATATGGGGGCTATCCGAAAAAATTGACCTTTATTTATAATTTTTGGTAGGGATATTTGCTACCCAATAAGAACTCAATGTACCAAATTTCAGCGAATTCAGTTAAAAAACGCGCTCAAGAACCTCAAAATA